TTATATATATATATATATATATATATATATATATATATTGTGGGAGGAAAAAGACAAGTAAACTACAAGTTCATCCCTACAAGCCTGTTTCGTGGTCGCCCACTCATCAGGGGATTTAATGAGAATAAACTTTACCATTGCTTATATACAATATAATTTGCATGATCTAACTAGTCTAATTTATGCAGCGCGAAATTGACAGTTTAGTTGTTGCGTAGGAGGGCTTTGCTTCTGTGGCGGCATGAAGACACGAGTTCATTACGTTTGTTTAGTGTTGATAGTTCGGGCCGGCAAATGATTAGGAATTTTTCTTTGAGGCAGAGGTTACATCTTTTGGTTGAGCTGTTATACGGTGTGTGCGATGAGAGAATGCGCCAGGAAATAAAGTGATCGATGTTGTTGTCTTTGAGGGTCCAGATGTGCTTGCTGAGTTCGGTAGAGTTTCTGTCTTTAGCGTGGCGGAATGATGCGGTGTGGTTTCTGTATCTTGTTTTGAACTCATTCTCTGTGAGTCCGATGTACGTTTCTGTCGTGTTGTTGTCTTTGCGTGTAACGGAGGCTTGGTAGATTACTGATGGTTGCAGGCAAGCCACAATCAGTTTTTGCATGGCAAGCAAAAAGTAAAGAAGAGCGACTAAAACACTTCGCAAGGGCATTTTACTTTGCGATCAGTCCTTGACCAGAAACGACATGAGAGAAAACGCACTGTCACGAAATCTCGATATCTATTTCGATTGACTGACATTTCTGGTTACACAAATAATTCCCAGTCTCAGGAGTGAGCGCTATTACGAAAACAAAAAATTCGTCATTTCAAAATTTTCAATTTTTTTGAAAACACCCAACCAAATTTTTTGGTGTAGTGCGAACAGGACCTTGGACACAGACAGTTTTTGTTATCACCAACTCTTCACGAGTGCGGATGGTTTCTCGGGACTTGAAAAATTTTGGCCGAGGCGGACAAATTTTCAAACTCACCGCCTACCAAATTTGTCCCGGGTAAAACCTTGACAAAATCAACTAAACAAACAAAACCGTGATAAACTTGTCGATCATTACCAGTGCGGTAACTGAACTGAGTTTAGTTTACCAAAAGATTGCAGTAATTGTCTTTCGTTGCGAAACTCGCGGATTTTGCAACTTCAAACGACTCAAGATGACTCTCGGTAATTAGTTTTCGAATCCATCGACAAATTTTTTAGCAGGTCAGCCGCTGGATGCAGCCGAGGCAATATACAGCGGTGAAGCAATTTTGCGCTTTATCAGTCCAACAATAAAGCAGTAGATGTGGCACAAGATCCAGAAGTGCCCACTCAAAGTAAAGGAAAAAAGGAAAAGCTAATAAAATTGAATAAAATTACAGTGAAATACGGTATCGGTGTTATTTTTAGCTATTAAATGAATTTTAGCAGTTTCGACATTTTTAGTGAAGGTGCAAAGAGGAGACAAAAAGTTATTGAGACAAAATTTGACCTTTGATTTTGTCAGGAGAATTCCAGGCTCGCCTGCTAATGCGGATATGTCCTAAATAAATTAATGTACTTTTTACTCGACATCTTCCGTCAGGTTGCCGACTGCTAAAGGTGCCTAAAGGCCCGTATAAACGGTTTCAACATTTGACCAACATTCGTTCGACAAAAGTTGAACGGATGTTGGGCAAACGTTGAAAGCAAAATTCAAATTGTGCAGCCGCCTTTTTTAAGGCCTTACACTGTACAAAGGTCTTACAGAGGCATTACAAAGGAAAAGTTGAATCAATGTTGAATAAAAGTTTAAACCGATTTAAACTTGATTAAACACGCTTTCAACAGCTTTCAACATTTTTTAAAACGCACCGGAAATGAGGTTCAACAAATTGTTGAATGCCTGTTGAAGCAAAAGTTGAAACCTTTTAAACGGGTCTGATTGACTAGTTGTCTACAAACTTAATCATTAATTCAAACTCGTTCAGTACAATTCCAAACTCATTCAGTATAACTGTGTAATGAATAAGTTTGTTTTTGATGAGCTGTCACATTACGGATTGATAATTGGACAGTTTTCACTTTTTGAGTATGATGAACATACTCGAGAAGTTAAAAGCTAGCTGATTGGCTAATTTTGTACTAGTTCGCTCATTCCAGATTCTTTTTTTGACATTCCAAAAAGGTTTTAGCCTGTGTTCAAAACTTACTTGTTTAGAAGAAATTTTCGGATTACCTGGGGGTAAATATATTAAACAATTCTATCAGGCTCAAATGTTTATTCTCATTCTCCTCGATTTATTAAGTTGACAGATGACAACAAAGTGAAACTAATAGAAGTTGGTATAGCCAAGCACGAAAGAGAAATATCGGGCACATCGCGCGATATCCTGACTTACCTTGCCCCCGAGGTCCTGGCAGGTAAAACTTACAACACCAAGGCAGACATGTATAGTTTTGGTGTGATTCTTTGGGAGATGTGGTATGCTGAGACAGCATTCCAACCAGAAGTTATCCCCCACTCACCGTTCCAGCTTACGAGAGTCACGGTCACAGAAATTAAAGCCCTGCGGCCGAAACACATAGAAGGAACTCATAAACCTTGGGGTACTTGGAAGGCCGTCATGGAGTCGTGTTGGGAGAGCGAGCCACGTCATCGAATGACCGCTGCAAATTGCCGACAAGAACTTGGAAAGCTCCGTCAGCGCATACAGAAAAAAACATCCAGCGGATTGGCTGTGAAAGATTTTCCGTTACCAGAGGCAACCCAAAGTCAAACAACCGCTGAAAGCAGTCAGATTTCTTTGAAACCCGAGCCAATGACTAAATCAGAACAACTGCGAGCGCCGCCACCAACAAAACCCAAGCCAAAGAGATCATATGTGGCGATTGAAGAGGCAACCCAAAGTCAATCTACCGCTGAAAGCAGTCCGATTTCTTTGAAGCCCGAGCCAATCACTAAACCAGAACAACAGCGAACTCCACCACCAACAAAACCCAAACCAAAAAGATCATCTGTGGCGATTGAAGAGGCAACCCAAAGTCAATCAACTGCTGAAAGCAGTCCGATTACTTTGAAACCCGAGCCAATCACTAAACCAGAACAACAGCGAACTCCACCACCAACAAAACCCAAACCAAAAAGATCATCTGTGGCGATTGAAGAGGCAACCCAAAGTCAATTAACTGCTGAAAGCAGTCCGATTACTTTGAAACCCGAGCCAAACACCAAAACAGAACAACAGCGAACATCCCCACCAATGAAACCTAGGCCAAAAAGATCGTCTGTTGTGATTGAGGAGGCAACCCAAAGTCAATCAACCGCTAAAAGTAGTCCAATTACTTTTAAACCCAAGCCAATCACCAAAACAGAACAACAGCGAACACTGCCACCAACAAAACCCAAGCCAAAAAGAATATCTGTGGCGTTTGAGGACAATGTTCAATTTCAAGGATAGATTCACAGAAAAATGCTCATGCACTGTTTTGATGTGGCTCACTAACCAAAAAGGATAACTCACCTGAAAACTAACACTTGAATAACAATGATATTTCAAATGAAAAAGGGTTTTCTCAGTTAGAGGGCGAAGGAGAAACCCCAGAAAACAGCTGCTAAAATAAACGATTTCTAAATAAAAAAAAAGTGAATTAAGGCTGAAAGGAAAGACAGGTAATGCCCCCCAAAAAATAGGTAGTATAGTCCTACAACACTTTGTTGAACTGAGTGGTCTTCATGGATTTAAAAGCGATCGTTGATGTTATAGAGTTTCTTAAAGATGCAAATGCGGGTACATGGAATGTACAAGCCGTGATAGTTGTTAATAACCCTAATATTTGAAGGAGAAATTAGATGTTCGTCACTCTTCGGAGTCAAAGGGTTAAATAACCAAAACCGGATCGCTGGCTGGGTAGGGAACATTTGAAAACTAACCGGAAAAACAAAATTGTTGTGGGTGGGGAACAGTATGCATAATATGAAGGCGCTGAAACAAATATGAAAACAATAATGGAAACAATTTCTTTTTTCGTGAAAATTGGAAATTCATCTTGTCATGTAAACAATGATTGAAAATGCATTTTATTCCTGTTAGTTTCGTCGCTTTCAAACTATAAGGGTGTTATAGTGCAAGGATGAGAGATGATCTTTCAAATATTGAAGAATGCAGGGGTAGCAAATTGAAAGCTCGATCCTACCATGCTAAACTAATAATGGTATACTGAGTGGCGCTCAATTCGGTCTGAAATCAAACGAGTGACTAACAAAATCAGACGAACGCGAAGCGGGAGTCCGATTTGTCAGTCCTTGATTATGATTACGGACAGAATTGGACGACAAGAAGTCCTCTTACGAATTAATCAAAACTATGACAAAATTGTAGAAAGAAAGTAAACGTCGACTACACGTTTTCATAAAAAAGCAATAACAATAACAGTAACTAGGAGAAATGCACGACGATAGCGCTGGCTCGTTACACTTACCCAGTCTAATTACACAAGCATGATGTGTCAATTGTACAACACACTGTCCAATTACATGCATGATGTGTACATTTTCCTATAGGCGGATTCATGCTGACGTCATTGTTTACATTTTTGCTCATTTGCATACGGCTTTGCGTAAAGAAGGAAGCAAGGAGAAATAGTCCATCAAAAACTGCAAAATTTCTTTGTGGCAAAAGCGCTAATGAGCTCATACATTCTATGTAAAATGTTGAGTTTTTAAACCAGTGTTGCACAAAAAGTATTCAATGCATCAGGCTCGTATTCACTGGCCGAGTTAATCGTACTTTGACCTTTCGATATTCAGAACTGATTTATTTTTAGCTCCATCAGAAACTGAATTTCTTATGCTAATGAGGCAAATATTGTAAACAAGGATTCCCCTATAGGAGCTCAAATCGGGCTGGTGATGACCAATCATGTTCAAGAATTTTTTTTTATACTTGTAATTAATTTTGTAAATGTTATCTTATACCAGAACTGTAAAGTCGACTAAACGGTAGCGAAACTCATATATTATGGAAACACGATAAGCAATGTGTAAAGCCAAAAATTAAAGATATTAAAAAAAAAGTTCCACTAAGGTAGATAACACATCACTCAAAGGAAAGCCTCTTCATATTTAGGGGCGCAAAAAAAACCTGATTTTACTACCATTATCAAATAATAAAGCTACAGTAGGCAATGTTAAGAGCTACTCTCGCTAAGATCCTCATATTCAATTTACATCCAGAGATAGATTTCGCTCATAATTCTTCCATCAACTTCACTTCGCAAGTAGGTAACAAATATGAAATAGTTTTGGAGAAATTGAACTTTTTCAAATTTTCTGATCGGAACTTTTCACATCCCGGAATGTGCTCAAAACTTAGCGGTGAGCTGGAGAAATTTACAAGACTTGCATTTGTCAGTTCTTGAGAATACGGATCATTTAAAAGCTCTAACTTCGCTACTTAGAAACAACGACCCTTTATCTTAATAATACAATTACACTCAGAAGCTTTAATTAGTGTAATAAATCTGACGGCACAAAGTTTCTCTCGTTTCAGCTCTTATCGCAACATGCGATCTAAGCAATGTTCAGAGGAATAAGTTGCAAAAGTGGCTCGTATTCACAGGCTCTTCTACACATCAATGCAAAGGCCCATCCATCGCCTGTGAAGATCTGTTAAAATAATTGGTCGCAATCTAATTCTAGTTCCACACATGCAACGTGAAAGTTGGGACATTGGGCTGTAACGCGGTCATTTTTTCACGAAGTACATGATGATGGTAGTTTATTGACACTTCTGGCAGTTAAAAAACTGAATAAACAGTGTAATTTTACAAGGATATTAAAAATAATCTTACTAGATACCAATGATAAAGTCTATTTACAATAATTAGTCTTAAGATTAGAATAATTGTAATAAGTATTACAATAATAGTTAAGTCTACGAATACCTAAAAGTAAAACAATCATTTGTTCTTTTTGTTCTTTTCATTTTTGTTGTGGCTTTGGTATTTCCTCATCTTAACTGATAAGGTATAGAACTTGTTATAGCTTTTGGAGCTAAGAAAGATATGGGGTGGTCTTCATTCCTCATTTCCGCCATCAACTTTTTACAAACGAATATCCTACGATCTACCAACAATGACAATTTTGCCTGGTCAAGGGCTTGTTGATAACTAAAATTTGGGAATATAATTTTTAAGGCTCTTTTTTGTATGGATTCAATAGCATCAGAGAGGTATGCGGGAATGTCTTGCCACACTTCCGTAGCATACTCTAGGACCGATCTGATATCACAAGTGTATACCTCAAGCATGTCTTCTGGCATAACTCCTGCGCGTTTCAACAACCTTAGAGCGTATAATTTCTTAGCTGCCTTGGCAGTCACATATTCAACGTGAGGGTTCCATTTAAGGTGATCTCTAATTATAACTCCTAAAAGTTTATAAGTTCCCACCCTCTCTACTTCTTGATCTCCAACAGTTATAGGTCGCATTGCAATAATCGAATTCTTCATGAAATTTACGTACATTTCTTTACATTTTTTGGGATTTAATTTCATCCTATGTTCTTTGCAATGATCATGGATTTCTCTGACAACTACATCTAGCATACTAACGGAGTTCCTTGGAATGATCTTAAATGCAGTAGTTTCATCAACATACTTCGTACACATATGCCAATTACTGAGTAGCTTGTTTATCATAACAGTAAAGAGCGTTAATCGGAGTTTTATTCCCTGTGGGACGCCACCATTGACTTGCTTCCATGATGACAGGGAGGAGACAACACGTACAGCCTGTGTCCGGTTGGCAAGAAAGGAACGAATCCAAAAAAAAAAACAGAGTTTGATCGATGTTGAACAATCTGAGTTCATCTAGTAATATTGAGTGGTCTATGATATCGAAACCTTTAGTAAAATCAGCAAAAAATATCCGAACAGAGCAGTTACCTGAATCAGTAGCTTGGTGTATAGCTTGCATTAAATGAATTAGTGCGTGCACTGTAGAGTGTCCATGACGTGCATATTGACGTGGGTCGCTAGAGTCAAACACCTGGTCTAACATAAACAAATGTTAGTAAAAAACCAAGAAATCAAGCAGATAGCCTTGAAAAGTACACTTGGATTTGGTTTCTCGACAGCCACTCTTCTCTTGAAAACAATCGTCCGTTTTATCTATTTCGAGCATTTCTCATGTCGATGGCAACTTGCTCAGGATCGGCTTTGCATCCCGACTCTTCTCCGGCATGAAAGCTTGCTTTTAAATAATCCTTCACTTGAGGGGAGTACCTTGTTCCACCAGCTCTTGGATTTTGAAGGGCCCAGTCCATAGGAAGAGAGGAAGGAGACACTGATGATACGTCTGATTTAGCTCTAGGACGGTTTTCGGGAAGAACTGTGGTAAACCTTGCAACCCAGTCACGACGTAAATGGTCATACACAGATTTCTGTCTTTTTTTTTTTTTTAATTTTCAGGTTGACCATAGTTGAGATGGTGCTGTAGAGATTCAAAACTTTGAAAGGATGAGCTGCATCCCTCCACACGGGAATAATGCCGAAGCTTCAGACACTGTCTTCACAGAAATATCGAAAAAATTCTGCTTATCCTTGACTATTGAGATACCACCCTGCGGTTTACGCACGGCGTGGGTGTAATTCACAATTTACCCTGTCCCACAGAGTACGCCTTACGAACGCGGATTCCTCGAGGCTCGAATTCGAAGTTGCGGTATGCAATGGAGTTTGGAATTTTCGTTAGATCGATCGATTTCTGCTTGCCGTTCACTTCACAAACAAAGGCGGTGACACCTTGGAAAGGTCTCTCAAGGAGTTCTTCTCTCATGTCAGCAGTTGACTGAATGTCGTGTCCCTCGTCGCACTGCCTGCTTCATGGGACAAATAATCCGGTCACATATGTCGTTCCCATGCTGTGGCTCTGAAAAGTCGTACCTTTCTATAACGATTCTGGTTCGTTGGCTGATGCCGTGAATGCTTGCAATAAGGAGCTTGTTATGGTATCAACCGGCCTCGTTCGATCTTATGAAGGCCTTGCTGAGTGATGGGTTTTCCATTTTTAGGGTCAAAAGGAGGTTTTCTAAAATGGAGGAAACAGCAAACCAGTCTTGTGTAAAGGCATCAAACATGTGGGTATAAGTTACAACCATTCGCTCTTCTGCTTGCTTGAGAACAACGCTGCTGACATGCCAATTCAAACCTCTCTTGCCAAACCATTCAGTCTGTTTCTCTCTGTACCTCTGGCACTGAGACTTCAGCGCCCAGTCCCTGGTTATTAGTGCTGATGTTACATCAAGTGATCTCGAGACATCTTGCTTCGCTAGATCTTGATTTTCAGAACGCAAAATATGGGCTTTCCAATCAAATATATGCCTCTTTGCTTGCAAGAAATTGTAAGCAAAATCTTCTTGATGTTCCTTGCCATAAGACGATATACTCTGAGTTTCATTCTTCAAACAAGTTTCTATTTCCTCTATGACTGATTTCAAGTTCTTGGACGAGGCACACTGTAGACTGTGCGGAAGTTCACATTCTTGTTTATAGTCGTCATTGTTCTCATCACTTAGGGCGAATACCCTACAATGATCTGTGCATGGACTAGAATCTCCTTTACAGTGAACTTTATAATCTGTTTTCATATATCTCTCCCCTTGATTTAGCCTTTCTTTGATATTAAAAATCCACTCTGGATTTGCACCGCCCTTTTGAAGTTCTTCAACGACTTCAAGAGTTTCAAAGGCTGCCGACCCTTCCGCAGCTACGTTATCAATTCCTTTGAGAGCCTTCCTCTGAGATGCTTCACGTACTTCAAGGATGCGATAAAGGGTTGCGTGGCTGAAGGACTCAAAGCTCTCTTCCTGGCCAAGCTCCAAGTACTGTGCAATCATTGCAGACCTTGTGACAGTTCGGATGACGTGAGGCATTAGCAACTTTTCTCCGCTGCTAATCTTTATTGTACGTGTTCCATACGCAACGTCTTGATAGAAATATGGTCTGTTTATGAATTCCGAGAAGTGGCTAACTTTCACTGCGTCAAGCCTGACCCTGTGACAAATCGACTTTTCCACTGGGACACCGGGACCTTCGTTATTAACATGAAGTTTAGCCTTGCGAAGTTCCCATTCTGTTATAGGCTCGTATATTTTGTGCAATTCTATCAGCTTCTTAGCTGAATACTTGTTGGTATAAATGCTTAAAATTTGAGTTTTCGTTTGCTTAGATAGTGCATTCCTGTAAGCTTCAAGGAGAGGCTTCAGCTCATTCTCAACATTAGGTCCTTCAGGGTTACAAGCCGCTTTTACCCTCGACAGTGTGCGGACGCTTCAGCTAGCGCTCCGCATTCTCGTATCCGTGGATTAGTTTTTAGGCTAGTTAAGATCGTTTCTTTTTCTTCATTGACTAATGGGCGACAGAGTGAAAGCGTTAAGAAGAGAAAACGGTGATTTAAAGAGACAACTGAAAGACCTGAAGAAAGAATTTCAGTCTATCAAATCCAAGATGGCGGATCAGAAGGATCACCATGAGGCAGCAGCTGCCGCTTTACCAAATACACAGGATTTTCATTTCCTCAGCGACGATAGCTACGATGCCCTTGTTAAGTCAGAATCGAGCCTGT